TATAACTGTATTACAATAGTTGATGATTGATTGTTAAGTGCTTTTTTTGACTTGGTTTTGATGACCTGGTTTTGATTGTATTCCGTTGCATACTAAGACTATTTGTCTTAAATTGAAGTTAGAAATCTCTATGAACCTTATGCTTTGTTGTCACCTATTATTCATTGTTGTTAGCAACTGTATTAGAATATTAATCCATGATTTATTTGTATTGTGGAAGTGCAAAGATGTAAAGTTAAACCCTGTTTTTGAATATTTATCCATGATTTATTTGTGTTGTGAAAATGCAAAGATGTATAGTGAAACCAAGGAAAATGCATGAAAATTTAGAGTTAACTTGCAAAAAAATCAGATTTGGTGTGTTCTGTTGTGAAACATTTTTCTCTTACTTAGCTAATCATTTTCAAGGACTTCTTTTTATGAAGATCACCTTCGTTTAGTGTAGTTTATCGATGTTTTTACAGATTTCAAAACGAAGTTGTAGATTTTCCAAAAACTTGATTTGAACAGGATATGTCTAAACTTAAAATCTGAAAATCCAGATTTCAGACTTTCCGTTTAGGAGTTAATTACGCCTATCCTTTCAGTTATTTTCTCAGGTTTATTTGCATAAATTTCTTCTATATTTGATGAGATTTATTTCAGTTTCAGGCTCATTAAAAAAAGTTATAGTTTCTGTAAAATTTAAGTTTAAATATTACCAATTGAAGTTTTCTGAAAATTTGGTTTCCCATAACTTTTGTATTTGGTTTCTCATTATTTGAATCGAAGTTCCTTTTTTGGGGCCAATTTTGGTTTATATTTTGCACCTAAATTTTGTTCATAATGAAAGCTAGACTGTTGTTGCAAACAGAACCAAATTCTGGCACAATGGCTCTTCAAAATGAATAGACACAAAAAATCACTACAGGGAGCCATGAAAAATTCCAAATAGGCCTTCTTTCTACAGTAATGCAGAAATTCCAATCACCACCATGCGTAGAAAAACCAAAAATTCCTTTTTGATGTAGATTGTAGATAATTGTATCTTTGATGTGATGTCTCTGTACTTTGCCTGAGTTTTTCCCCCCTTCTGGAATCTTCAATGGTTTTTCCATTACTGAGTTAGTAAAATTGTCTTGTATCTGCTTGATTGATTAATGTTTTGTTTTTACTGCGGGTTTCAGACTCAAAAAACTGAGAGTGATGTTAGTGATTTAGTCGCTTTATACATCACTTTTTCCTGGTAAGATGTTAGCTGAAAATTAGAACAAGAACTCTGTAGCCTTACTCAGGTGGTTAATATGGTGCAATACTTTTGATCTTCCTTACTTTTAAATATAATTCAACAGTTTCATGTACTAGTTTAGCATCACTGTTTTTACAGATTTGAAAATGTAGTTGTCAATTGCCCAAAAACTTGATTTAAACAGTACATATCTAAACTCAAAATTTGAAAATTCAGATTTCAGATTTTCTGTTTAGGAGTTAATTACTTCTGTCTTTTCAATTGTTTTCTCAGGTTTATTTGCATAAATTTCCTCTATATTTGATGAGGTTTATTTGGTACACTTTCATTGTTAGAATTGTATACATTTCATGGTTAATTAACGGTAAAGTTTATTCATTAACTTCATGTTGCCTGTTTATTTTATTTGACCATGCTGTATACGTTATTTGACTGGTGAGTATATGGTATTATAGCCTGTGTCTTTGTGTGATTTTCTCCCTGAAAACTGACACAAGAACCCAAGAAATTTAAAACTGAGGTTCTTGGGGAAACAAATTGAAGGTTTAAAGTAATTCTATGTGATGGCTAAATGAATCTATTGTATGTCTGGTGTTAATATTGGTTTTGATTTCAGTTTCAGTGAAAAAAGAATAAAGGGAAGCCTCACTCTTCCTACTGACTGATTCGTACTTTCAAATTATATGCTTAATTTTGTTTCTTATCAATCAGCAAATGTAAATGAAAATTTTGTTCTGCTCTATGTCAACAATTGCATATCTTTTTGCCATTTTTTCATTCCTTTTCTCATTGTTGGTGAAACTTTCTTAAATTTACTGTTCCTTTTGTCTTTGTCTTAATTCATTGTTTAAGTCCACTATCCATATCACATCAGTATGCAAGTTTTTATATTATTTATTTGCTTCAAACCACTTGCCATCTCATCCTCAAAATTTATAACCCCTACAGCCCACTTTTCATCCACGTATACCACCCATCACAACACACCTCTTACTACACTGCCACATTTTTGTCCACCTATAACCCTACATCTCTTAAATTGACACTTCACTCTTTCAAAAAATTGCCACGTTATTGTTTCCAACCACCTACAATTTTCCTATTCTGCCAACAACACACAAATCATTTCACCTTTTCCACAACATCATCTTTAAATAGTACCAAATATCACAATTATATAGCAACTTCAAACACACAAAATGGCCAACCCCGAAAAATGCACATGTATTCACTGCGGTCAATGCACATACAACTATTGGTTTGAAAGAGAAGTAGATGAACTGCTAAAGAGATTCCTTTGCCATCCTATATGGAAATACGCTCTCAAAACTGCACTGAAGATGAACTAGAGCCTTTCGCTGCTGTTAGAAAGAAGCACAATCCTTGAAGCTGAATTAAACACTCCTTTACATCCCATGTAATCTTATATATATAAAAATTATCCCTTGTTTCTCTTTTCTTGAAAAATTTGTGTACGAAACATTGTAAAATACGTTTTTTCACTTTTTTGTAATTTAATTCTCCCATAAAACATTATCATCAATATATGTAACATATAATTTTGTACACTTTTCACGCTTTTTACAGTTATAATTTCCGTACAAATACCATAAATATATAATACGATTGATTAACAAACACTTTAGCATATAAACTTCCGCAACGTCTTGGCTCCTTATCACCCAGCCGCACCTCGTGCGGCCTCCCCCGCTAGTATTAACCAAAATGGACACCTCCTGCTTATATCCATTCGGCAACTTCCCCTTTCTAGAACCCCAAAGCTTTGTACTACTTAAAAACAGCTAATTGTTTGGTCCACTTTCAACTTATGCATTCTGGTCATAATACTTCCCATTTAATTATTTAGAAGTAGTACAAAAATACAAAATGTACTTCCAAATAGTTCGAGTGAGGGCAGCAAATGTGGTTTAAAAATATAGTAAGGCTTTGCCTCCCAGTTTATTTCTTAAGGAACAATTAAACAATATTAGAAGATCAATCCCATCTTATAACCGACTTAGGTTGCAAGCTTGTTGTTTTCTAATTTTATTTTATTTAGTTATCTTTGATATTTCTCATCCTTGTAAGCTTAGAGTTCATTGTTGCTGTAAAATTTATTTATTTTTAATTTAATATCAATCTATACGTTTAACACTCTTTTAGTTAATTAATGTGTACTAAAGTATTTCATGTTTTCTTATCATATTTTTTTGTCCTAATTTTACGTTACAAGGTAAATTTACGTAGTAACCGAGTTAATTTACATTTATTAATCACGTCAATCTACGTATCATTTAACACGTCGGAATTATTTTGCAAATTAATATTTAACCTAACACGTCAAAATGTAAAGATATTACAATTTATTTCTATTAATGTTGTAGTTATCCAAATAGTTAGTTAGTTTATGCTATATTTTATATATCTCAATAGCTAAATGTAATCATATTTGGAAATAACAATATTAATATATGCACAAAACCACTATTACTAGCTAAGCAAAGAGGTCTCAATATTTAGGATCTCATAATTCATGCGGAAGTAATCCCAAGACTCGAATTTCTAACAAGACTCAAACCAAGAAAACATAAAGAAGATCTGGACTAACAAAAATTCGAATCAAAATTGATATGAAGATGAGAAACGACATGGTGTTAAGCCTTAACTTATAAGGTACTTAATCCTCGCCTTAAAATTTGTGACAAAAATGACTCGATGATTGTTATATAAAACGGTTAACAAAATCTCACCGATTGAGAACACTAAATTCAATAGTGCATTTGCTACATATGCAAGTCTATTGATTCACAAGTCCAAAATAACCCCAAAAGGATTAAGAACAAAGAGATTCACTCTCTTCACGTAATGAAAATTCCATAATAGTCTGAAAAACCAAAGTGACGGCCTCCTTCTTTTAAGGTGAAAAGAAAAGCCAACTATGTCAAAATCCAACATTTATTTTATTTGTGGATTTGACCCCTAATAAGTTTTAAAATAAAAAAAATATAACTCTTCTAAATATTTGCATATGTTAAAATTATTTAGAAGTTCTTTAAAAATTGTTTAATTCAAAAATATTCAAGGAAAAAAAATAAAATAGGAAAACCCCACACAAACTTAAAACTATAATTTTTTTAGAAACATAGTTCGCAAGTGCGTGTCAGGCTTCTTGTCGACTGACATAATGATCGACATTTTGACGTTGGCTTGCTCGTCGACTGACGAACAGGTCGATGACATGTGTTTCCAATGTACTTGATGAAATCTTTGGACCCTCTTCGAAATGGCAAATATTCTTCGATGCTAGACAAATTACCCAAAGAATGCAATCAATCTTTTGAGATTTTTCATGAGGATAAACAACCGAGATTAGACCTTTGATCAATTCATTTCTTTTTTTCGCACGGGATCGAATTAAAAAATATCTCATTTTAGATAAATTATCTTAACTGATTTGTCGGAACGTTTGTCCATCCAGTTAAAAACCATCATGATTGATTTCCACATCAGATGCGGGTGGCAATGGCTTTAAATATTCTTGGAATGTGACGGGTGGATCAGTGTTGATGAGGACTAACAAGAGAAGAGGTGTGGAGAAGTTGAAGGGTGAATAAGAAGCATCGGGGAGGAGATGAGAGAGAAAGCTTAAAATAGGAAAGCTCCGTACGCTTCAATCTGATCTAAAGAGGGTTAAATCGGACAATTACATGATTCCGTGATGGTAAATCATGGGGGTTCTCGTAGTTTCCAAATCACGGGGGTTTTATGTGGTTTTAAAAACCACGAGGGGTTTATTGTGTATTACCACTACCCCATCCCACAAAATGCCCAATTATCTCAGCGGGTCATCCAAACTGTATTGCTACCCAGAAAACGAAAATGAACTCCATCCATTTCTCATTCTCCTCAACTCCTCCTTCCACATAGGCCGCCGGCGTAATTGACCGTGGGTGGGTCATGCCAATCCTCCCACCCAATTGGTTTTGCAGATATTAACAGCGCCAAGTCGAAGCCACTTTCAACGTCGGCGGAAAAGAGAGCATCTTTAATTATTTTCCTAATTCTTCCTCAGTTTGAGCGGACGACATATGGGGGCGAGTAGCGACCCGACTCAGGACGGGTCTGATGAGCAGCAGCGTCGGTCGGAGATCTACACATATGAGGCGCCATGGCACATCTACGCCATGAACTGGAGCGTCCGCAGGGACAAGAAGTACCGTCTCGCCATCTCGAGCCTAATGGAACAATACCCCAACCGAGTCGAAATCGTCCAGCTAGACGACACAAACGGTGAGATCCGCCCCGACCCGAACTTATGCTTCGAGCATCCATACCCACCGACCAAAGTCATCTTCATACCGGACAAGGAATGCCAGAGGCCGGACCTGTTAGCGACCTCCAGCGACTACCTTCGGGTCTGGAAAATAGCCGACGACGGAAGCCGCGTCGATGTCAAATGCCTTTTAAACAACAACCGGAACAGCGAATACTCTGGCCCCTTGACTTCGTTCGACTGGAACGAGGCGGAGCCAAAACGAATCGGGACATCGAGCATCGACACGACCTGCACCATTTGGGACATCGAAAAAGAGACGGTGGACACCCAGCTCATCGCTCACGACAAAGAGGTTTACGACATCGCGTGGGGCGGCGTCGGAGTTTTCGCCTCCGTCTCCGCCGACGGGTCAGTTAGGGTTTTTGATTTGAGAGACAAAGAGCATTCGACTATCATTTATGAGAGCTCCGAACCCGATACCCCCTTAGTCCGTCTCGGGTGGAATAAACAGGACCCGAGATACATGGCTACAATCATTATGGACAGTCCGAAAGTGGTTGTGTTGGATATCCGTTTCCCAACGCTCCCGGTGGTGGAGCTGCAGAGACATCAGGCTGGCGTGAATGCGATTGCTTGGGCTCCTCATAGTTCTTGTCATATATGTACTGCAGGGGATGACTCGCAGGCTCTCATTTGGGATTTGTCATCCATGGGTCAGCCCGTTGAGGGTGGATTGGATCCGATTTTGGCTTACACGGCTGGAGCTGAGATAGAACAGCTTCAGTGGAGTTCGTCCCAGCCTGATTGGGTTGCCATTGCTTTTTCCAATAAGCTTCAGATTCTCAGGGTATAATAATATAACCGCATTGTTTCAATTTCATTGTTGAATTGAATTTTTCGAAATTACTATGCTAGTCTTTGGACATTGGTTTCTATTTGCCAGTACATTCTGCTCAGTATTAGAGCATAGGTTTACGTTGTGTTTCTTGATTGTTGTCTTGTGTGAAGGGATGCAATGGTTTTGTGTCCGCTGTTACATTCTGTTCTCATCAAATGAGGGTTACCAATATTTACAGTATGTTGTTTGAAACGTTCGTGTTAACTGCAAATTAAGTAGGGATTTTTTTTTTTTATGTTTCGTTGCGTTAAACATGTAGATTGCAACCTTTTCACAGGTGCTGAAATGAGAACCATGTTAGTTTAAGCCTGTGTGGTAATTTTCAAGATGATGATGCAATTGTATGTGGAATCAAACTCCAGCAATATTCATCATCGTTTTTGCTTTTCTTTGATGGGAAAATGCAGCCAGTAGCATGCATGGTATAATAGAAAATCATGTATCTTAGTGTCTAGTCCTAATGCAGGAAGGAAGAAGGAAGATACTCACCTAATTGAGTATATGATTTCCTCTATGATAACCTTTGTTTTGGGAGGGATATTCACCTAATTCATTGACTACATAATTTCATCATGATAACCATTGTGTTAGGATGGCAGTTTACTTACCATTACCTATGTTAGAAGGTTCTTAAAGTGTATGATGTTTGAGGACATTGGTGTTGTACCTTTGCCTTATACTATAATAACATAAAAGGGACTAAGAAGGTAGTGACCCGGTTTGATTTTCCTATTATATGTAGTTTACTATGATGTTCTACGATGGTTTCTTGCTCATTTGTTCGGACTCCTTCGATGTAGACTTCTTACCTGGGCTTATTCTTTTGTTTCACCTAATCCCCTGTTCTTCTACTTCTAGTTTTTGCAACATGATCATTAGAGTCTTGATGCTTATATTGCTCATTTGATCATCCATTGTTTTGTTCACCTGACTCCCCGTTCTTCTACTTGTAATTTTTGCAACATGATAACTAGAGTCTTGATGTTTATATTGCTCATTTGATCATCCATTGGTATCGAGAGATGAATTTCGATGGATTGTCTTGATTATTGAATTGCATGTGAATTAGAGTCTATGTAATGTTACATAGCTGCTTTCTTGTTCTTTTTTTTACCCGTATTTATTAACTTTTTTGAAATATATCGGTCATTCGCCGCACGCAAATGGGGTGGGGCTCCCATGTGTATAATTGTACACCTAAACTGTTACTGCAAGACCAGAGACCAAGCACTGAGGAAAGGGGGGGTAAGGGGAATAACCCTACAATATGAACTGAACCTGGTCAAGAAGTAACTTCAAAACGACTTCATATTTATTAACCTAAATATCGCATATATACGTGAATCTTTAATGCCAAAAGTAACTGTAGTGAAGTGAAAAAAGAAAAACTCTGAGGCTCGAGAAGAAGAATTCGTGTTAAGGAACACCTTGATTTTCTCTTTCTTCACTCCACATATGGGCCCATACGGCCTTCAACTACAAATTAGTTCCTAACAGAGATGTCCAGCGCTGGAGTTAAGAAACACCTCAGTTCTGTTGGTTTCTTTACCTTTTAATGGTTGTTTTAGAATATTATATTTATGTAAATGTTTCATCCCATGTTAAATTTTTACATTTGCAATAATTTCTTATATTTCCAACATTAAAAAAACTCGTAAAAACATTTAAGTTAAAAAGTAATTCAAACCTTAAAATGTGAAGCAGTTTAGAAGTGAAGCAGTCGACTCCATGGCTAGTTAAAAAGTTGCTGAAATTGAGAGAGTATGCCTTAAAATGTGTCTATGTCTCCTTGCAAGGCTTGGAATGGAATGGATTGGCTTGGGAGAATCATTCTCCACTCATGGCACATACCTTACATTAACCGTGATGGCAAACCAGGGAGAAAATTAGCAAATATGATCCTTCAATAGATAACTGATGTCCTTTGTGCACGATGGAGGAGGAAACTATTGGACATATATTCTTTGATTACTTATTCTCTACACACACTCTCCAAAGCCTTGGCTCTGGTAGATGCACAAGTCTCCTTTTTTCATTGGCAGACTCTTAGGGAGGAGATACTATCGAAATATGGATCAAGCTCCGTGGAAGATGGGATAACTAGGGGTGTGGTGGTAGCAACACTTTACTACATTTGTGAGGTGCGAAATCATGTCATTTTTCGCCAAGATAAAGTGAATGAAGCAGAAGTGATGCAGAACATCTTGTTTTCATTGAAGCTAAATCTCTCCAAAATTTGTAAGATGAAGAATATTAGGCACTACCGAGTGTGGTGCAACAAGATGAAAATCTTTCCTCAGTTCAAATGAAAACGAAGATAATTTTGTATGGCGATTTTTAATTACTAATTAGTAGTTTAATAGTTGCAGCAATTTTATATCTATAATTTTTTAGTCTTTTGAATAAGTATTAGTGTATGTACCTACTTCTTATTCAACTAGAATGAAAAAAAAAAAACTTAAGCAGTCGACTTCATGGCCAACTCGTCAAAAAAAAAAGTAATTCAAACATTTAATTAAAAAAATTGAGCAAAATGACAAAAATATCCTTTTGACAAGTTAAGGTTGAAAAGCTAGCTGTTGACTTTTTCAAGGTAACTGGACGGAAAAGTGAAAAGGTACAATATCTAAAGTTATGGTGGCACTTTCATTTTTTTACTCAACTTAATAGGGAGAATGAATATAAAAATTCATTTTATACATCCAAAAAATAAAGGGTCTCTAAATCATGTACCCTAGATATTGGTCTTCCTAAATCATGTACTATATGTTTGAATTTTGTTGTTTCAAGTACTTTTTAAGGGCAAAATGGAAAACTAATAGAATTTAGTCCTAAAGAACTATGTTTTCCCCCTAAAACTTATAGAAAAGAGCAAATTGCACCATAAATTTTATTTATTTTACAAACACTCATCTTTCAGTTTTCAGCAAATTGTAACTAAATTTTCGGTCAAAAAATCTCCCATGACATCTCGTGTTTATTATTTTGGACGTACATGTTTGTATTATCTTAGCTAGTTTTTCTTAATTATAAATTTTATTTGTGATTTTATTTGTCATTATGCATGATATTTAAAAAAATATATTTTTTTGTCATTTTTAGCTCTTTTTATTCAAATTCTTGGCACATAAATCTACTTTTATGCATCAAAGTGCCAAAATGGAGTTTTCCCTATTGGGCAAATTAGTGTTTCTTAACCCTGTTTGGATGGAAAAGCGGGAAAAAAAAAACAAATTTCCAATTTAAAGTACTACTTAAATTATTTTTGAACTTAATCGGGAAAGTAAATGCGGCCTCAAAGTTATGATACTTTTTAGACACATTAGTATTTTGTTTAAGTCATTTGGTAAGATCAAATAGGACCACTAAGATTAAGAAGACGATAGTGATAGGTTGTCACAGGTTTTGTTTGATTATGGTCGGTGAATATGATAGCATTGAGGTGATTGATGACGGATTTGTTAAGAAAAATTTTGAGTTTTAGTTTTTGAAGAGAAAAGAGGGCGCTTGAAGATGAATTTGGTAATCTGATTTTGACGTAAATCAATGGAAGAAGCGTTGGAAGAGGAAGAGGCGGCGGTGGAGAAGCTGTGCCTCTGAATTGCTTATATTAAAAAATACTTATAAGATGAAGAGTTACGCTCCGTTTGATAATCACTTAATATAGTGACTTAATTTATTTAAGTAATTAATAAAATTAAGTGTGTTTGATAATCGTTATTAAAAAGTCTTAATAAATTACGGTCTGAACTAATTAAATACTTATAAATTAAGTGCGTTTGATAACTAAAATTTCACTGTCTTAATTAATTAAGTGCATATGAATAACCAGTTCAATTGTGAGCCAGAAAATAAGTGATAGGCCTACCACTTATCACTTATCATTTATCACTTAATTTCTATGATGACTCTTTTTTTCTTTTGTTTTTTTTCTTTTTTTCCCTCGTCTTTATTTCGACACTTATTTTTTACATTGTTTTAAAATTTTTATTTTCTTAAGATAGATTAGTTAAGAATACTTAAATTTGAATTTATATTATGAGTATAAAAACTCTCAAACTTTCAAACTCAAATTAAACTAATTTTAATACATAAAATTTTCTGAATAACAAAGTATACATATATATATATATATCGATATGTGTAAAAATCTAAATTTAATTATATATTGATTATTTAACAAGTGTAATATGTATTTCATTATATATACAAAAAACTTATTTTAAATTTATTATTTTATTATTTAAAACAAAATATTAGTTATTTTTCTATTTAAAAGAATTTTGTTTATAATTCAATTTTAATGATATTAAAATTTAAATAACTTTCAGACCTGAGTATTCAGGTTCAGTGTTCAGACTTCAGACTTCAGTCTTCATACATCAAATTCAGATGTTTTTATCAAACAATGTAAATTCAGTCTTCAGATTTCAGTCTCAGTATTAAGTGTTAAGTGTTCAGATTCATACTACAGTGATTATCAAACGGAGTCTTAGTATTACTGTGGGAGAAGTTTAGGAATAGTTTAATAAATTATCCATCTTAATTAATAATCTCCAGCACCTTATGTTTCAAAAAAAAAAGAAAAAAGAAAAGAAAATGGAACGGAGTATACCAGAAAATTTAATTTCAGATTTTACATTAAAATATCATTATAATCACCTCGATGTTTTATTCATTTCTCTTTGAGATTTTGTCTTTGTTAACCATAAAAAGTAAGGGGTAAGTCACAAGAACCCCTCATGGTTCAAAACCACATGAAAACCTTCCATAATTTGGGAAGTACATGAGAACCCTTATGATTTTTAAGCTTGTAAAGTGACTACAACAACTAACACTAATGGAGTGTATCTGACTCTACAAAAACTAACCCTTAAATATATTTTCTTATATATACCTGGATAAAAATAAACCTTCCAAAAATTTTGTGGACAAACTTATATATCCTGGATTTAGGAAATCCGAATGGGGAGAAACTCCAATTTTCGAAATCCGAACCACTCTAAACTCGGATTATAGAAATTCGACTTTGTGTTATGTAAATCCGATATTAAGTTAATGACAGAAATTAGTGTAATTAATCTAAATCCGGATTTTCCAAATCCGTATTTACGAATAAAATATTAATTTCTGGATAGAAAAAAAATATGTGTTGAAAAATTAAATTTAGGAAAACCCGGATCACGGTAATCCAAATGAATGTCGGTAATCCGAATCTCTGTTTTCTGTAAAATGCTAACTCTCAGTTGGCTACATACTCGGATTTACGAAATCCGAATCCTTTACAAAAAGTCTGAGTTCGTATTTCTCAAATCCGAGTCTATGTCAGAACTAAAAAAAAAAAATTGGATTGGTTTTAACTAGTCCTAAACCTGTTTACAACACCAACAACAATGAAACATTGGAAAACAGAAATTTAATGGCAACAAAATAATAAACGGCATTCGATTGACAACAAAACAAATCAAGTTTCATACCAAAATCAATACAAAAACTACTTTAAATGTGCAAAATACATCAAAGGTCTCATTTTTTTCCCTTTTCCTTTATTGTGCGCATCCGGAGTGTATTTATTTGGGCCCTGCCTGATCCTGTCTCCCCTTTTAAGATACGTGAGTATTGAACTCTGTGGTGGTTGCGACTGTCCACCAAACTGAGGCTCGGGTTGGGGTTGGGATTGAGACTCCCCCATGGTGAGAAATTTGACTCCCGGTTGTGGTTGCGACTGTCCACCAAACTGAGTCTCGAGTCCACCAAGGTCAAACTGAGTCTTGGGTCCACCAACGTCTTCAAATTGAGTCTCGTCCTGGATACGCGAGCCTCGAGAAGAATGTGCTTGATCCTCATTTTGTTGACCCTCAGTTTGTTGTTGCGATGTCCGAGGGGGGGATTGGGACCTTCCTCGTTCATCCTCCTCAATCTTATCTCTCGACCACGGTTTCGCTTTTTTACCCGACGGAGGTTGTGAGGGCAAAGATGGATCTTCATCAACCAGGATTTGGGTATCCTCCACCTCCATCTCATCATTTGCACCCAGGGTTAAAGCACCATATGTTTGATTGATGATATCGTCCAAATGCTTGTCGAGTTCTTCGTCAAGGAGATTCTCATCTTCTCGTTTTTCTCTAAACTTCTCGGAACTCACGCGAATATTGTTCAATACTTCACCCTGAAAAGAAATTGGGACGTTAATTAAGAGAGTAAAATTCTAAAAAAATAAAAAATAAATAAAATAAAAACATAAGAAATAAAAAAAAAAAATAGAATGAACTCACATATAATTTCACTCGGCTCGAAGAAGTCTCGTATCCTTGAGGTTCATAATTTTTGGGATTGGATATCAGTCTGACAGTGTTCACCATGAACCATTCATAGTACCCCTCATATACGGAGCTAGGGTCTCCTTCCTCCAAATCTCGTAGCCACGTACTCTTCTCTCCTATTCCAATGATGACGTACTGCGGAATGGTGGTCCACCAAATTGTTGCTAGGATACCTAGACATACTGTGGGCGTGATCGAGAAGAAATGTTGCGTTATCTTTAATCATAGGGCGCTTAGGAACATCCTGTATGTATCCAAATTGTCTCACAACTCTGCCCGACTCGTGAGGTTCCCTAATAGCCCAACAGAACATTCAACACCTGGTCATTCAAATGGCTTGGCCTTGTGTACAGAAATCAGGGAGTCTATGAAGGATCTGCGCATATGGTTGCCACCGAAACTGCATGAAAAAAATTTCATTAGATGGTATAACCGGAACGAAAAGAAATTCAAAATTAATATAAATATCAAATTACAAATACTTACATCTTCAATACGCAGGCTTGTTAATTGATCTCTAAAAGGTGGGGTGCTGCTCCTTGGGGCGTCTCCGTAAGTGTACCTACATTCCCACCTTAATGAACAAAGGGGTACATTTGAATTAGTAAAAAAAATGAATAAGAAACAAATAGAAATAAAGATTGAGTTATTTTGAACTGAAAATACGTACCGCTGAGCTAATGGAGCGGTCTCATCAATCAAATAATCTACTCCTTTTCTTTGTGGCGCAATTCTCTCGATCCGTTCATACGCCCATACCTAGTAAATTTCAATAATAATGTTAAAATTTCAAATTATAACGTCAAAAGCGGAAAATAATTATAACACCAATTGAAAACTAATACGTACCTGTAGCAAATATAGACAGCCAGTGGCGTCGTGCATGGTGTACTGTGATGCCTCGCACAGTCCAGGGTACAAACTAGCCAGCAGTGCCGATCCCCAACTGTATCGACTACACTGATCCAAATCCTCAACATGGGCCAAGAACTGCAGATTGACAGTGTTTTACGTCTTGTTAGAAAATATGAAACTGCTAATAAAATGCAGTATAAGTGTCCGGGCCCTTTGCTCGAATCGATGGACAGTGGAATTCTTAGGGAGTGCGCGACCCATCTCATCTTCGAAAATACCAACATTGACACATTGGCCATTTACTTGGGCTGGCCGGAATCCCAAATAAGCCTCACATCGATCCTGCCATTCATCTGCAGTCCGGTTAACTGTCGTCCCGTACACCGAGTCACCATCCACCCGAATACCAAAGAGGACCTCGACATCTTGTAGTGTCACAGTCGCCTCTCCGAAATTGAAATGGAAAGTGTGGGTTTCTGGCCTCCACCGTTCCACCAACGCGGTAATGAGACCGAGATCCACTCTTTTGTAGCATACTTTCATGATCCCCTCAAAACCGGCTCTCTTAATGACTTCCTTAACTTCCAGTGCCGTATTTTTGTATATCCCCCAAAAATCGCTGTCGTATCTATGGCCCTTGAGGCGTAATGTTTTAATGTCCGGTATCTTATTCTCATAAACAGCTTGGGACCTATGCTTTGTTTGACGATATAGCATTATATCTTGTATCGGTCCCGGGTGACGATGTTTAGGTTGATATTCATATTGCGAGCCCGATGCCGGCTGCACCATTTCAATCCTACACAAGGTAACCAAAGAAACTCATTAATGCGCTAACTCATATAACAACAATGCACAACAACAAACAATAATACTAATACACAATCCAAACCATACTAATATGCACAAACCAAACTAATATATAATACAAACCACACTAATATGCACAAAAACAATAATACTACATTCGGATTTTCCAATTACATATTGCACAACAACAATGCACTATATATATACTCACCGCTCCAAATAAACTAAATTACTTAGCACCGTTTAACTACATCTGAGAAAAAACACTAACACTATATCAACACAACTAAAATTCACAATTCACAATTCACTAAACTATACAAATCCAACACAAATACTATATCAACATAACTAACTACGTTTTGTGGTTTTAACTATACAAAACTATACAACACAATTCACAAACCAACACAATTCACTAATCAATACACAATTCACACACCACAACAATACACATTAGGAAAAAAAAACATTTGGATTTCACAAAAAACAAATTTTTGAAAAAAAAAATTAAAGAGAAAAAAACTTACGAGAGAAGGAGGGAGTCGCCGGGAGAGGAGGGAGTCACCGGGAGTGGAGGGAGTCGGAGGGAGGGGAGTCGCCGGGAGAGGAGGGGGTCGCTGATTCCGGAGGAATTGGCCGAGAGTGCAGTCGCCGGTTCCGGAGGAATTCACAGCATGCTTTGCTTCTGATTGAGATTTGAAACAAACACCAATGTCCATTCCTTCGGGCGTCTCATCCCACATCTTAAGAGCAAACTCATCCCTGTCCACACATGAGGCATCCCATTTCCCCATCTTACTATATACATGGCGTCGGGGCAATGGATTACAATCCCTTTCCTCATTTTCCAACCTTTCATCGTCACTTTCTTCAAAATCACTCTCTCCGGAGACATCACAGTCTTCTTCGCTTTCACTTGGAGCTATGTAGTCGGAATCCGACTCTTCCCGGTATTCATCTTGTGCAAATAAAGGTGTCTCCTCTTCATCACGGTTTCGAGAAGTATTAGCACGTTCTCCCCTTGCAAAACCACCAAATGACACGTTTTCTAAACTCGCTTCTCTTTCTTCTTAAGTGATATTTTCTAAATCTATGTATAAATCCAAACATGACATTGGATCTACACGGTTCATGAACTCTACATGCGAATCATTCTTGATCTTCACTACACGCCTACCACCGGGACTATCGAAAATCAAAGAAAGGTGGAGTTTTCACGTGTGCTGGATCCCAACCAAGTGTCATACAAATCTTACTAATCAATCCCTCATATGACAACCTTTCCTCAACAAACAAACCATCATCCGGCATATTCGAAAAAGTGTTGATGCTACCATTCTCTATCACATACTTGCTTGTATGATACAAATTAAGCATGTATGATACATTACGTGCCATATTGATAACTGTTAAAAAAAAAATATCAATAACTAATCATTTTTTAATAACAAAATCAATAAATACACCATACATACTCCTTTCATAATTCAAAAAGCCTATAAAATAGTAAAATACTTATAATCAACTTCCATATCTCATGAGTAACTATGATTTCTCATCTCTAACCTCGAAATCAACACCTAAAACATCCAAACAACCAACCAACATAAACCCTAATCTATCATACATCATTCTAACAATCAAAATAATACAAAACTAAACTAAATAACATGGTTTTGCAATCTAACCTCTTTCAAATAACGATTCCTACGTATCTAGAGAGAAAAAAGTGGAGAAGAAGAGAAAAAAAATTTCAGTTGAAATCAGTGTGAAATAAGGGGTTTGACCTTTTATAAAGCGGAAATTTTTTGGGCCATGTGGGGCCCACAAATTTTTTGGGAAAAAATTTCCCTCCACTTTGACCCAACATAATTAGGTTTAAGTCAAAAGTGATTAAAGAATAAATCTGATTCTTTAAGGGCCCAGTTTATTTTTTTATAATAAAATAATGGCCCATTTGACGGAAAAACGTAAAAACCGTTAATTTGGACGGAAATTGGGCAAAAAGGACGGATTGACGAAAATTGTGATAGTTACGGGTAAAATAAGCTAATTAAAAAAGATTAGGGTAAAATTGACAATGAGGGTAAAGCTTAGGGTAGATGGGACAATTTTTCCCTACACTTCGTATAATTTCCAATTAGTCCTAATACCTCGGCGGGTTTGGGTGAGCGGGTCGAAGCACCAAAAGCAAAATCAAGAAAATCAGTAGCAAGCTTGCCCGGTTGCTCCAAAACTCAGAAGAGAACCGTCGTCCTTTGTAGCTCTATTTGACTTTTCATCTTCATCGTCGTCAGATAGAAATAGAAATAGGCAGGATGGATTTCACGCTCAACTGAGGAGGAAGAAGAAGAGAAAAAAAGAAAAAAATTGAATGGCGGGATTACTGTATCACGTCTTCTCATCGTCTTCTTTACTGTCCTTAGGGCTCTACCACCTCATCTCCACCACCAAGAACCACCTCAAATCTCCCCGCGATTACTCCGCCAAACCCTACCATCCTTTCCCCCTCTACCACCGCCTCCGCCATCTCCAGCTCTATCTCCTCATCCTTTTCCTCCTCGTCGCATTCTTCCACCAGACCATTATTTCGTCCGATTCCGATCCACTCCTCAAAGGCCGCACTCCCGTTTACCGCTTCACTTCCCTCCAATCCGCCGCCGTCATCTTCCTCTTTTTCCTCCTCTCAATCGCCCTCCTTCTATCCGAATCCACCTCCCTCCTCCCTCCTCTGCCTTCCGATCTCTTCTTCGGCGTGGCTTCTGCGATTTTCTTCCTCCACTACTCCGTCTCTACGGCTTCCGCCTCCGTCCAGACCTCCGATCTCCAAGCTGAATGTGACGGTGTCTCCGCTAAGATCTCCGCTCTCTCCTCCGTCCTCTGTTTAGTTCTCGCCTGCCACCCAAAACTCTTCGTCGCCGACGCCGGTCTCGCCGCCTCCCTTTGTCTCCAAGGTCTTTGGGTACTTCAGACGGGGCTCTCACTCCATGTTGACGCCTTCATTCCGGAAGGTTGTCACAAGCTTCTTGACGTCGTCAGCGGGGTGGAGGGGTCCACCAAGTGCGATCTGGACGATTCTAAGCTGAGGGCTATTGCGATTCTGGATCTCGTTTTCTTAGTCCACGTCACTTTTGTGGTTATCATCATTTTGGTCACTTATGCTGCCGTGGCGAAGATGGTTGGGGGAGGAATCCGGGGTTTTGGATCCTACGAGGCCTTGCCAACCGTCGAGTTTAACCAGAGCATCCACAACAACAACCACATTCAAATGAAAGCTTTGTCCGGCACTCAGGCCTGATGGTTTTATCCTCCTCCTTGACCTCTGCGAGCTTAGGTAAGGTAGTATTGTGTTTACTGTTTTTTTTCCCCCTCTTTTATAGTTTGCAGTACTATCGCATTTGAGCTGTAGAATATATGGTAGGTTGGAATTCATATGTACGACATATTGATTTGCGATTATGGTGAATTTGGAGGAAATTAGAATACTGGAAGGACTTGCGAAGAAACTGCAAAATATGTATTGACAGATATGAATATGAATCAATCATATAGCTGACCTGGCCGTGGGTTGAATGCTACTTGTTATTGTTATGCTACCTCTGTTGTTGGTCTAGTTTTTGGGTCATCCACTAGATTGTGTTTTTGATGCTCTGTACTTCTTGTGCCATGAATAATCTTTTTCAGTTATTCAAAGTTTACATGGTTTTCAAGTCTTTCAGCATTAGCAGGCATGAGATTTTTGCACTCAATACTGCGTCATTTTTGTTTGTTCGTAGGTTGGTTGGTTTATCCTTTTTAACTGCAGGAAATCAATTTGTAGTTGTTCTATCCCGTTTTAACATTAAATATGTGTTGTACCCGAATGGACAGCTTAGTTTTAGGCTTTTAGGAATGTCAATAACTATTATGCAGATGGAGGAAGAATGTTGCAGATAGTGCTCATTGTTTCCCGGTTACAATGGGAATAGGTTGACAGAATTGTCAATTAAGGGGAGAGGCAAACCCTCGCTTTAGGGATTTAAGAAAGACAAGAGTCTTCAAAGCTTAAAAGCTCGAAGTTATAATAATATCAAAACGTGAATCACAACTGCTACAAAATCTCCCTATTTATAGAGAAGATGCGAGGCTTATTCCTTAAGCTACTACGTAGCCCGAAACTAATTAATAATTAACGTAATGTAGCAAATAGGAAAGTAAACTTAATTCTAAGAAGATTCTAGCTATTTCCTAAAACCTAATATGAAACTACCTACATTTTTGAAACCTTCATGCATCAGGTTATTGTTTCCCATTGCTTTTCTGGATCTTGCACCTTGGGTGTGTTAATTGATAATTTATGGAGCTGATAATGTTTTCTGAAAAAAGAGCACAAATTTAGTTATCATCCAATTTTCAGCTCATGACCAAGCCTGATCCTACCTGTGTTAAGAATCAGTTCAGATAACTTGGAGTTAATCTTTTGGAAGAACAGACTTCTACCTATATTCCAAGTTCTTCACCACCTCATACAATCATCAACCGGAGTTGTATGAATGGCTTTTAATGGTTCATCCACATTTGATTTTATGAACAGATTTTGGAATGTAGGTGGTAAGCTGTTTGTATCTCTTGCTGGCATCTAGGAGAGGTTTTATAGCTCATTCATTCGTGTTTGGCTGTTCCCCTGATAATTATCTTCCATTTAGCAACGGGGAAGTTTTTGTCTAGTTTTATCTCGAAAGCCACATCATAAATCATATTATGAGTGCACCAAGCTTCTCTTTTTCCAGCTGTTTGTGGATTCTTTATATGTGTCCGTTCTATGTTTTTTGTTGTGCAGGATTTATGTACTTTTCTCTGCACTGATAATCCAACCATAGAGAGAAGTTGAGTCTTGGTTGGATGGGATGCAATGACGGTGTTGCTTCTAAGTCCGTAAATGAATTACGGAAGCCCACGTTGCTGTGATCTTCTTCCACCATTGTCTTTAGAGTAGAATCGTATATTTTTCTTAATGCCTCTAATTTATGTCGTGGACCACATTCCATGCATCCAAACATGTTTTTGTACGAAGAAAATACTGAAACTGTGTGAGCAATTAATCAGTTTAGTGGCCAGGAGTTCTAGTGTTAAATGGATATTGCAATTCAATCTCTATCATGGTATAGTTGATACATTGTGTTCTTGTGCGTGCATAATGTAAACTACATCTTGATCCAATATTTTCTTCTTCTTTAATCTTTACCCTTTGTGCGTGCATAATGTAAACTACATTTTGCTTTGAAGTACCGTCGATTCAAAAACTAATTGGTACCTAGATGCTCAAATCTACCCGTTCACGGGGCTTCACCGTTAGACAGGTGAAAATGAAACTTGCTTTTATGTTTAAAAATGATTATTTTATTTATTACATGGGTAGAAAAAAAATGAAAGAACGATTGACAGAAGGAAAACAGCTTTACGACATTGTGGTGTCGACAAGACGAAACCCAAATTTTGGGGCCTTTTCTGTTGCTCATTTGGTTAAGCTAGCCTATTTCCTGCCACTACGCGGGGAAGGAAATGGAAATAATTTCTACTAGATGTTTGGTCCGAACAATGCCCAACCGGCTTGAATGTACTTTAATATAATAGTATTAATAATAAAAATAATTACTATTATAATAAAAAGGTAAGATAAATTTGTAATGAAACAGTTTGTTAACAAAATAATGTAATATATATGGGTCTGAAATGATTTACTTTCAGTAATAAAAAAATGTGTTAAAATATATATATATATATATATATATATATATATATATATATATACATAGATGATACGAATGCCATTAGTAATGTGTATTGTATTTATGTGGGTAAAAAATAAATATATCAAACTCGGAGTGCAATAAGAGTAAATAATCGATTTATTTGGGTAAATAATAAAAAGAGCAATCTCGGATGCCTAAAAGTGTAAATAATTGGTCTGCAATAAAAAAAAAAAACTGTTGAAACTATTTGTTTTTTTTTTTGTCTTTGTTTCTATCGCATAGATCTGGGAATTTTTGTTCTACTTTTGGAAAGTTCAACACATTTCATTCTCATTTTAGAAACTGTAGAAAGGAAAATCCTTCATGGGATTGTCGGCGTCAATCTCGGCCGGACATCGAACCAACCCTCATTTGGTTCTATTTTTACAATCAATCAAATCAGTTTCGAATAATGGCTTCGTATTCATTCGTTTAACATGGGGTCAAAACGATTGAATTATTCCTCAGCATTTCAATCGATTGAAGGTCAAGATGGTGTTCACAGATCATTCCGTCTTTCACTTTTGATGGATATCTGTCTGCTGCTATATATCTAATATGATTCAGCATCAATGGCTTCGCGAGGTAAAAAATTGTTCATTCAAACTTTCTGAGAATTCATTATAGATTATAGGTCGCCATTTCTATGTCAACAAATTGATTATCTGAGTTTAATCTTCTCCTCTGTGTCTGTTCTGAATGGTTCAGGGAAAGGAAACTACCCATGGCAACTGGAACTGTGGCCACTACCACAGCTGGTGCAGCTGGTCATAAATACTATACATTGCATCAACATCTACAGACGGAATGGTTAGTAGTACATGTACATTACAAATTCCTCTAACCTACCTTCTGGATCTATGGCGTTGTACATTATAAATGGTAATGTATTGATTTGTTATATGTTATTGTTTCTGTATATTATTTGATAAAGTTATCCATATTAGTAACTTAGACTGTGAGATATATTGCAAAAATGTATCTATGGATGAATAGTTTTAAACAGTGGTAATTAAAATCATATTCACTGAATTATATAGAATTATATTTGTTAAATAATTTCTGTGTATTAATAGTGAAAGAATATTAAAATAAAACCCCATAAAAATCTATAGTATATTATACTAAGAGAGAAACCAGAGAGAGAAAACAAAAAAGAATTTTAAAGGTGTTACATAGGATTTTATCCTATGTGTCATTTTTCTAATAGTTGAGTCAAAAAATATTTACAACAATTATACTAATAGTCCTTCAAATTTAATGTAAATAAAGTTTTATCAAATAGCATTTAAAACTATAGTTTAAAATAAGAAACTAAAAATTAATTAAATTTAATGGACGGAATTAATGAACATTAATGCACCAGAATTATTCCCTCCCCAAAAGAATCCTCAAAGTTACTACTGGACTCATTTAATTAATCTCTCTAAAAAAAAATCTCCCTCCCAATCATGTAAATCAAGAAACTACAATTCAAAAAAAAAAAAAAAAACCAATCATTTAACATTAATGTTATCTTTAAAATCTTTTCCCAAAAACACGACTCTATATTTTTCGCCAATAAAAAAGAAAAAAAAAGTACAAAATTTGCCTTCAATTATTACTAAAAGGATGTGATTTAACTATAATTAAATGTTATCTTTTGAATTTCAAAGCAATGCATTTATTTGTGTAATATCATATCTACCCAAATAAATATATCTTTCCTTAATAATATCTCAAAAATTGTTATAAACTTTATCTTTATCACTAAAATTTTGGATAATCAATTATCATCAATCCCAATTTATCTCTATTTATACATGCCACACAAACCATGAGTATGTTCCAGTGCTGCAAAAATTTCCCCCTTCTCAAAACAACCCGAAATCCAAAGATGAAAGGGCAAAAACTTTAGCCCTACAGTTGGTTTATTGTTCTGAAAGTGATGAACTAATAGTGGGTCAATCGTGTGGCACGGGAGGTAATGGTTAATTAAGGTTATATATGATTTTTTTTTCCGTATATTCTTCTGCAAAATGATGTTTTAGGGTTCTTTTTCAGACGTTACTAAATTTATGTTTTTTCACCCATAATTTCATTATTTCATTAATTATTATTTTCTATTATCATAGCAAAAAGGGATTAACGGGTCACTATAACCAATGATCACTCTAATCACATCTTAAGCCTATCAGCCCTGTAAACAAATCACATGCATCTCAGAACTGATAAACTACATGGTTAATGAATATTTGGATTATGCAAAGAATATCACAGTGTTTTAAGATCATCTTTCATCCTCCAATTCAACAGTAATCCTCTTTTTCTCTTCCTTAGTAATAGGGTCACTATAACCAACGATCACTCCAATCACATCCGCAGTCATAGAGGCAATTCAGTTTTTCAAATTTATATGAAATCAGTTTATTAATTTTACAGCAAAGCAATGATTTTATATATGCTTTATTGATTAACATAATTGCAGGGATAGAACAACAATACTTACCACAGCAGTAATCAAAATTTGCCATGAAACTCGTTATCCCGGCAAAAGGAGTGAATTCAAAGACATGATTTGGGATGTCAAAGTCAAATACATATTCCACCAACGTGTTTGGCTCGAAAACAATCTTGTATTCATGCTTGGCACAACAGTAATCGCCATTTATGTTCAATGCATGATCAAAGTTTGAGATCCTTCGAGTACAACCTTTTGTGAATCGATCAACGAAATCCTTCATGAATCTAACTGGTATGGTTGCCTGGATCTTTCCACCCTATATAACATTGACATGTTATTAGTTTGGCGGCACAAAAATACTGTCTATTGCATTACAATATGAAATATATTCAAACCACAGAAAATGAACTTTACATGATCGTCAATCAAGGCCAACTCCAGAGATTTGACGTCCTTCTGTTTAGTGTTATCCAGCATTTTCCAAATTGACATGACATGGACAACAATTTGAAAATGATTGCTTCTTGTTGAGATAAGACCATTAATGTCTGCAATGTATCTTTGTGCAGCCTGCATTGGGGGATCAGCATCGGCCTGAATTGGTGCAGCCATATCAACAGCGGGGGGAATTGGTGCAGCGATTAGGGATCTGATAAGAGATTGAAAAGTATATTTCAATCTTTATGGTTGATGATTGACAATGCAAAATATTGGAACGAAAGTGAGATGGTGCAATTGCAGTGGTACCTGTATATGTATTTATAAAGGTAAACTATAGCTTCCTTAGCCATGGCCTCAAAGTAGGAAGGAAAATATATCTTTAAGATTATGATGATGATTCATAATTTGAAAATTGAAAGATGAATATCAAAATTGCAGAAAACTGATACGTGTTTATCAGTTCCATATTGAAATTACCATATTAAAAAGGTAAGAATATGTTGATTGCATATGCTAACAGAGAGATTGTTGGAGTAATTGATTAAGTTGCTGTGAAAAGGATTATATATTACTGTGAAAAAGGATGAGTTACATTAAAGAAGCAGTATTGAATGATGACACTTATATTTATATTTTGAAAATTGGATAAATATGGATATTGTGCAGGAGCGGAATTATGGGAACAAATTGAAGCTGATTAGCGAAATTCTTGATTCATTGAATGTCGATGATGATGATGATAAGATTACATAGCAAGAAATATGAAATTTTAAGTTTTTTTAGGGGGAAGATTCTGAAATTTTTTAGAGCCGGAAAAGCATGGAGAGATATGCCACGTGTCCATTTTTTTGTGAAGAACTTTTGGCTTTTAAAGGAAAAATATTAATTGTGGAGCTGTCAAGTGTCCTCGAGTGTTACTGCTTTAAGTAAGTAAAGGGGATTAGAAACTGAGATCAATCATAATCTTGATTTAAAAATTCAACTAAACTAATTCATTACGATAACGTAAACTTCTTTTACTAATCGAGTGACTTCAAAAATTGAGGGGCATTTGGTTTGGTTATGAGTTTGTAACAGAAAATGTCTAGTATGAATAAGCCGATTCCAAAACTAATGCTATTTATTTTATTTGGCTTATGAATTAGGTAAATTACTATCGTTTATTTTGTATTTTTGTTTTAAGATTAATGGTGTAAAAACAAAATTAATGAATTTTCAAAAATTCATAAGTGGTTTTAGTAAATCTCTTTTTAATACTTTAGATAGGTGATTGTTTTAAATAACTCTATTAGTTTATAATTGTTTGAATCCAGGTAGCTCTTGGTTCAAGACCAAATTTAAAACAACAAACGAAAAAAATAAAAATCAAACTCAATACGAATCATAAGTTATTTAATTTAAATTCTAATTCAATGATTTTTGTAATTTAAATTTCATTAAAAACTTCCAAATAAACCTTGAGTTTTACAATTAGAAAAGTGTTTTATAACATAATAATAAATTTAAATATACAATATAATGCCTTGAGAAAGCAAAGAATTGTAAAAGAATAATAGTGCAAAAATCCGGAATCAGATCAAAACTCAACCTTATCGATGTGTTTAGAATATTTATAATTATTATGTATTAATCCATTTCTATTAATTCACAAATCACCAACTAAACATTATTGTTCCAAATTATTCCACCCTCTCTCATTAGAATCCACCAACAAAACACCTTGTCATTGTTTGATAGAATTATTTCTATTTCGCAAAATTTATTGGGACTAAAAACCTAGTATTCTTTTCAAAAAATAGTACTCTATCAGTTTCATTTCAGTAATGTCATTTTCTTTTTTAGACATTTCAAAATTTAGTCATATTCTGGACATTTAATTAAATTTTATCCATAACTTCTCTTATACAAAAATACCACTTTAACTCAAATCAAGAATATTAATTAATTTTCTCTTTCTAATTACTCAAAATTCCCGAAAGTTGTCTGGATTCAATAAAAAAATTTAAGATTACTATTTAAAAAAACTATTATTTTTGTTTCAAAATGATTGTCCAAATTGATTTTTCCGTTTTGAAATGCATGGAATATGTATCAATCTTATTTTTGAAATAGTGTTAAAGGATGTTTTACACAAAAAGTGATACGAAATCCTTATTGTTTTAGGACAATTTCATGTTCATCTTTTTTTGGAAACAAAAATTAGTTTATTTTGCCGATGTCTCAATCCTTAATTTTAGTTTTTTTTTTTATAAAATGTTTCAATCAATTCAATATGTTGTAAATTTTGAATTTTACAACACATAGCCTTGATATTAAAAAGATTAATTCCAAGATAATATTTAAAAGTGAGTTTACCTATATCTAGTGAGGTTCATGTGTTACACAAAAAAAGGATTATAGTTAAAATATAATTCACTTTTCAAATTCTCTAAATAATTTGGTTTGTTAGTTGCGCCGAAAAATAGGAAAATGGTGGGATAATTTTTTCCAAAATGTAGCCATTATAAAATTTAATTAATAAATGAGATATTGTGGGCTTTTTTAATTTTTCCAAAAAAATTTAATTATTATTTCCCCAAGTCAATACTTATCTTCTTTTTTTTTTTCTCTTTACATGTCCCAAAAAAAAATTAAAATAGAGCTTTAATGATAAGAGAAATAATGCCTAAAATGTACGCCCTCCGTCTCATAAAAATAGTCCAGTTTGAAAATGTACAATTTTTTTAATTTGGTTAACACACCAAATGTACAACTCATTTTATGTTCCTAACTTTCACTAATGCCCCTTCTAGTTATTTCTATAAAAGTTAACTACATATACATTTATTTTACAACTTAAATTTGATCAAAATTTTTATCTCAAAAAATATTGACAATGGATCTTGATGGAAAGATTTCGTTATGTAGATTAATTTGATATATAACACATTTTTTTAATTATTCATGTATTAAAAGATATAATCATTTGAAAAATGGGAGAAAACTAAAAAAAAATGAAAATCGAAGGAAGTGGACATTGTTTTCCCTACCACTATTCTTTTAGATATTTAAGTCATTTCAATTCAATTAATTTTGACTTTTGTGAAACTGGACTATTTTTTTGAGACAAACTTTTTTATTAAACTGGACTATTTTTATGGAACGGAGAGAGTATGTATTTTTAATTTCAAAATGTGAACAATTTTGAATGTCAAATGCATTAACATAATGATCACTGATCCTTTGAATAGATGCCTTATCTAGTAAATTAGATGGGATTGGTATTGTCTTACTCATTCTTAATAAGAATGATGATTTTCCAGGAAATTGAATAACAATCTAGTAATCAGGATGCTCTGAAAATTAGACATGGGTTCAATTCTAACCAAGGGGTATGTAAGAGTGGCGGAAGGGGAAGGTTTACTCACATTTAAGTGAGATCCACTGAGATGGTTTTCATAAAAAAAAAAGAAAAAAAAAGAGATTATTATTTTCCATGGTCGAACATTTTTTGAAATTAATTAGCAAATTAATCAAGAGTTAATCTTGACAAAGTCATGTAGATTTATTATTTACATATTTATTATTTTAGTTGTACAGTTTATGAAAGATAATTTCGGAAATGACACGTGACATTATTGGAATAAAATATCTCATTAAACAATAACTGTCAATTTTTAGCATACTATCAATCATGGCGCAAATGTGTGTTGCCCCTCTCCCTTTTTTTAAAAATAAATAATAAGGGCAAAATTATCTTTTCAGGTCTTTTTAGGGTGCTCTGAAGTAAAAATTAGGGCGCTCATTAGCCTCCCAATTTTTATTTTTTTTCTAGTGAGATGAATAGTTGATAAAAATAAGAAAATAAAAACGCGAAAATTTCAGCCGTTATTTTTATTAGCATAAGAATTGGAACGAATGAAATATATCAATATATTCCTCATATAGGTTACAAGTAGAATGAACATCAAAACGGGTCATTGAACTATTAAGTAATTCTAATACAGATCATCAATCAAATTTATTTGTATAACAGATCACCATACTAAGCAAAAAATTCATCTGATACCATTCTGTTAATTTTGACCGTTGAATAGTGACGAAAATCTATTTTTCTCATGCTTTTGGGTTCAGGGTATTTTTGTCATTTTATTATTTTTTTAATTTTAATCTTTTTATTTTATTTTTTTTGGCAATTCTTCTTCTTATACTTCCTAACTTGTATATACTGGTAGTATAATTCTAAATTTCAAAATTTATTTTACTTTTGTATTTTAACTTCTAGATTATAAATTTTTTTTAAAAATTTAAGAAATGAAGAAGAAAAAATCGAGTTAAAGTAAACATGAAAATTAACAGTTTACCATTTTAAACTAAAAGAATTAGTTAAGACAAGTTGTTTCTTCTAGGTTATTTAATTTTTTTCAACTCGATTGAATTATTTGATTATTAATTTTCACGTTAACTTCAATTTGAATTTTATATATTTTTTCTTATTCTTTTTTTATATATAATCTAGAAGTTAAGATACAATTGACAAATTAATTTTTGAAATTTTTAATAATGATACTAGTACTAACATATACAAGTTAGGAAGTAAAAGAAGAAAAATTGTAAAATAAAATTAATTAAAATGTTAATATTTTTTAAAAAATATATGAATTGATGAGATTGCTCCTGGCCCCAAAAGCAGGTGAAAAATAGAATTCTGTCACGATTTAACACCCAAAATAACCTAGGGGAAACAACTTCTCATAGCTCAAAGCTATTTTGAACGTTAAATCGTGACGAAAAACTATTTTCACATGCTTTTGGGTTCATGGGTAATTTCATAATTCTGTATTTTTCTTTAAATAGATTAATTTTTTTTAAACAATTCTTATTCTTTTTTACTTCCTAACTTGTATATGTTGGTATTATAATAATTATTAAATTTCAAAAATTCATTTGTTATTGTATTTTAACTTCATGTTTATAAAAAAATAAAGAAGAGAAAATCAAATTGAAGTAAACATGAAAATCAATAATTAAATGATTAAATCGAGTTGAAAATAATTAAATAACCTAGAAAAAACAACTTGTCTTACCTAGTTTTTTAGTTTCTTTTTTTGGTTTAAAATGATAAAATAATAATTTTTATGTTTATTTCAACTCGAATTCTTCTTCTTCATTTTTCTATTTTTTTAAAAAAACTTTGTAACCTAGAAGTTAAAATAGAAAAGTTAAATTAATTTTTGAAATTTAGAAATTATACTACCAACATATAAAAATTAGGAAGTATAACAAGAAGAATTGTAAAAATTAAAAATAAAAAAAATAATAATTTTTTTTCAAAAAAATAACAAAATAACAAAAATATGCCTGAACCCAG